CAAAGCGGGCTCCGCACTGAGTGGTGAGCCTGATGCAGGGTTTGAACTCACAGACCATGAGATCATGACCTGAGCCCAAGTGGGACGCTCAGCCGACTGAGCCACCCAGGTGCCACTTCCCATAAAGAACGATCTAAGTGTGATTTATACGACTTCTAAGAGGAATTTTGTTTTCCTTCTCCCAGCCACTTTTTGAACTGTTGTTTCCAGGAGTCATGATTCCAGAGAGTTGCAGAGGAAGGAGATGAAGGTTTGAACAGTGGTCTGGCTGTGCTTCAAAGCACAGGCATGTGGCTTTGGGTCTGGTCCCAGATGTCTTTGAGGATCTGGTGGAAGCCACGCCCCCATCTCCAGAAATGTGCCTGCATTTGAATCCTGGCTCTCTTATTTACTAGCTGGGGGATAGTGGGGCAAGCCACATGGCCTCTCCGTGCCTCAGCTTCCCCATCTGCAGAATGGGAATAATAACAGTGCTGCCTTTATAGGGTCACTGTGAGGAGTAAAGACTAACATTTGTATAGCATTTAGAGCAGAGCCTGGCACATGGCTGTGTTCCAGACGTTAGCCATCATTATCATTTAAATTTTTTTATTAATTTATTTGTTTAATGTTTATCTTAGAGAGACAGAGTGTAAAAGGGGGAAGGGCAGAGAGATTGGGGGACACAGAATCCAAAGCAGGCTCCAGGCTCGGAGCTGTCAGCACAGAGCCCGATGCGGGGCTCGAACTCACAGACGGAGAGACCATGACCTGAGTCAAGGTGGGACACTTAACCGACTGAGCCACTCAGGCGCCCCCCCCCCTTATTATCATTACTGATGTCCTCCTGCCCTGTCTTTTTCTCCTCCCCTGCCCCACCCCCAGAAGGTGCTTGTGCTTCCCCAAGCCCTTGGCTTCGTGATCGAAGTGGCTTCGTGAACCCAGGCACACACCATGGGGGTGAGGGAAGGTTGCCCCAAAGAGGAAGAGGAAAAGAGGGAGGGATTAGGGAGGACATGGTGGAAGCCGGCAGAGGAAGGGGGATGGGAGACCTCCCCTCCCCCACCCCCTCCCCCACGACCGAGAGATGGGCTGTCCCTCTGTTAGTAGCAAGGACAGTGTCCTGCCTGGGCAGTGCCCTGGGCGGTGTGGTGGACCTCAAGGGACATGGCTGCGTGGGGTCCTTGTGCCCAGCCTTGCAGGAAGCAGGGATGCCCTCCCTGGGGAGTTGTCAGTGGGCCAGCGGGTGCTGCCTGCCGCCGCGGACTGAAGACCTCAGGGCCCCTCCTTGTTGTTCTGGGCCTTTTGAAACCCCTAAAGTAAACCGACTCAGGACATCAGATTTCCCACCCAGTAGCCAGCGGCTCAAAACTAAATTTCATTTTGAAGAATTAAAAAAATAGAAGTGATTCCACACAGCCAGGGAATGTGGAAACCCAAATCCATACCCACTTCCCTTGCCTTGAGTATTTTGAGTGTCACTGCTAAAGCCTTTTCAGGACCTTTTCATTCTCAGAAAGTTCCACGACAGTTTCCAGGGTGGCGTGTGTCATGTGCACCCTTGGGTCTCAGGTTCTGGCTGCTCTGCTCACCCATACCCCCAGGCCCCAGTGAGCTTCCTGGGGTGCGGGCGCCACCACTCATTCTCCCTGGCCAGCTGGTGCCAACCTTGCCCACGGGGACCTTCTGCACGATTCAGTCTGGGGGATGCTGGGTGGCACTTTCCAGAAGTGCCTTGGTTGTTGTAGGTACCCGGATGCGGCCATAGGGAGGAGCAGCTGGGGAGGGCCCGGGCCTATCAGTGGCCACAGGGCTCAGAAGCTGTGGTTGGGCAGCCAGGGGGCTTTGGCCTCTTGTTGTGGGCACGAAGGGGAAGAGATACCCGGTGGGAACTGGGAAGTAGGGCCCCCCACCCCAGGCTGGAGGGGTAGGTGCTATCAACCTCACTCAGTCTGGAATCTGCAGGGCCCCACAGGAACCTCTCTCAGGAGGCTGGCCTGAGGGGTGGCACCAGGCGTAAGATGTGGCCTGGGGCCACCGTGGGTGTTGCGGGATCGGGCTGAGAGACCTCCGATGCAGAGGGGTAGGGGCTGGGCCCCGGGCCCCATCTCTTCAGGGTCAAACTTCAGAGGCTTTGTTTTCGGGAAATCTGTAAATAGCCTCACGGCACCCCTCCCCCGCCCCTTGCTGAGCAGTCTATGAAGGTGCTCTCTCTTGAGTCAGTTCTACAGAGGAAAAGCTCCTTGCCTAAACGTCAGAACCAGCTCTGCCGTTCACACTGTGGTTACCAGATGCTTCCATGAGACAGGCCTAAGTAGCTTCTCAAAAAAGGTGGGAATTTTGTGGAGCCGGGGGAGCCAGGACCGGTAATGTTTTCTCCCAGGCCCTGCCCTAACGAAAAAAGTGCTGCTGTCCTGGGTAAGGAACAGGTGTGGAACTATGTTCCTCTGGGGAGGGAATGGAGAGAGGATGGAGGCTGTGACTAGTGAGCAGAGGGATCTGGGCCCGAGCAGCTCCATTAGCGGGATTTCATTGTTGCGGGGGGCGGGGGTGGTGAGGGATCTGGGTCCAAGCTGCCCCATTAGCGGGATTTCATCAGAGGCCCCGTCCCTGGCCAGGGTCCACCCAGCCACACCTCCCCCTGCCCAGGGCCTACGGACTGCCAGCCTTTCTGAAGGTTCCAGATGCAACCTGTTTTGGCATCTGATGCCCCCGCTTCAGGCCTCCGTCTGTGGTGTCCCCCATGGCCAGTGATGCCCCAGGCCCTCCCCAGGCTGCAGTCTCTCCCTTGGCTGCCCTGCTCTGAGCCCAGCAGCAGTCCCCAGGCCTGTCCCCACACAGCCTGGGCTTTGCATGGGTCACCTCTCCTCTCCTCCTCTCCCTCCCCTTCCCCACCCTCCCCTCTCTTCTCTTCTCCTGCCCAGTTCGCTGGCAGATGAGGATCAGCACTGGAGCCCTAGGAGCCCAGCCCCTTAGGGCACAGATGGGGAGATGGGGGCCTACTGGAAGGGAGAGTTAGGGCCACAGGCAGGTCCCCTGCCACTTGCATGGCGTCTGCTCTCTGTCCTTCCTGCTTTCCGGCCATGCCCATCCCAGATTGTTAGTACCTAACATTCTGTGGCCTCGACCTAAGAGGAGGCTGAAGGGAAGCCCATTGTGCCTCGAGATGTTTCTAACAGCGTCATCTGAGAGTCGTAAGCTTCTCTGCATGGGCGCTGAGCAAGCCCAGGGTGGGGGGTACTGGGCAGGTGTCCGGGACGCCCTTTGCAACCTAGGTGGCTTCCTGCATGTGAGTGCCTAGATGTGCTGGTGGAGACCCTCCGGCTTTGTGAACCCCCGGAGGGAAGTGCTGAGAGTCATGGCTCACCCACCAGGTCTCCCTTCTTCCCCCCTGGGAGGGGGTTGAGTGCCGAGCTCAGGTGGGGCACGCAAGCATTGCCAGGGACCAAGAGGGACCCTGTGTGGCACTGAGGACCTCACTGACCGGTCAAACCCCATAGCGTTTTCTTGGAATGTTGAAGGATTCCAGGCAATCACCCCTCTCGGGCTCAGGTGGGGAAGGCAACCCTGCTCCTCTTGCTGTGATGCTCCTCAACCCTCTGGTCCCTGGAGAGCAGCAACCCCCCCGGCCCCTGAGCACTGTGCATCCCAGGGGCCTTTCTTGAGCTGAAAGCACAGATATACCCACCCCGAACACACCTGGCATGTGGCCCTGGCCTGGGTTAGAGCATGGGTTCCGGCACTGGGTCTGGTTTGAACTCACCCGTGGCCTCAGACAGGCTCGCATTCTGGACTTCAGCCGTCTGACCTGGAAATTGGGGACTTTTGACTCTACCTTATAGGGTCCTTCTGTCTGGAATTGGGGACCTTGTCTGAGACCTCCCTTGCTCACTCCTGGGGACACCTAGAAAGGAGAGGGGTGGGGCTGGAATCAGACAGCATCCCTGAGGCATACGTGGGCAAGAAATACAGCAGAATGGGGGGACCCCTGGATGACAGGCTTCTCCAGCCCCTCACAGAGAGTGGCAGGGTCTCAGCACCCACCCTGTGCCAGGGGAGAGTTGAAGCCTCCCACGGCTCAGTCGGGGAAGGTGGGAGGGTGCAGCCATGCTTCGCCCCGTCCTGCTGACGGGGCTGGGGAGTGGTCCAAGGGCTCCAGTGGGCTGGGGCCAGGACCCTTCTAGAACTGTGTGGCTCCGAGAAGCCCTCCCTCTCCACAATGTCCTTCACAATGTCACCCAGCCAGTGAGCAGCAGAATTGGCCCTGGACCCTAGAGCCCTGGTTCTTGGACCAAGTGCCCTGCCCTTTCTCACTAGTGTTAATCCCCTAGGAAAGAAGGAGGCCGGCAGCAGCAGCAGGTGGCAGGGGCCAGCCGAGATAGCCTAAGGGCTCTTGGGAGGGACAGAGGGGAGGTGCCTTCCTTCTGCTTCTTCCTGCCAGGACTCCCCTCGGCCAAGTAGATTCTTGTCCCTTCCCTTCCTGGGAGATGCCACCTGCCTTCAGAAGTTTCTACCATCTTCCCGGGGCTGTCTCACTAGGTGTGGTGAACACTCTCCTCCCTGCCCTGTGAACTGCCCCAGAGCAAGACTGATGCTCAGCCCCGGCACAGGCCCGACATTCAGTTGGAACTCAATACGTGAGTAAGACAGGTGGCTGGAAGAGTGAATGACTGTGGGAGAAAGTGGGGCGGGGGGGGGGGGGGGGCGAGGCTGCAGGAGGAGGGGAGGCAGAGGAAGGAGACCCCAAGGAGGGGTGAGTGGGCTAGAGCTGCCCACCCCATCCTGCCAGGACCCCTCTCTCAGGGATGTGGACCCCTTCCCACACTGTGGACTTGGCCTTGGGATAAACCCATGGGGTTTCCACACTGGGCTGGATGCCCTCTTGGTCAAGCTGTGGTCCTGGAAGGTGGCGGCTGCCATTTCCACATTCTGCTAGGGGAAGGAAGAAGCCCGAGGATGTCCCCTGAGCCCAACTTTGCTTTGGCCAGTCCAGCCGGCAGGCCACATGCAGAACCACAGAGTAGAAAAACCTTGTTTTATTCAGCCCGGGGTCTGGGCAATCTTGCTCTGTGGTAAGGCCAAAATACAAAAAATAAAAACCAACCATCGACAAAATAACGTTGTAGAGAAGAGTTAAGTACAAAATTGGGCCTGGCATCCGGAATCCCTGTGGTTTCGGTCTGCGTTTGCTCCCTGAGGCCGGCAGGGAGGGATGCCTGTGGCTTCCAGCTGCCCCTGCCTGTGGGTGGGGGCTGGGCCCCTCGGGGCCAGGTCTGTCCTGGCAGGAGGCTTCCTGGGGAGCCGGGCTGGCTTTGGGAAGTGGGGACATTGGCCGTGTGTCCATTCTCTCCGAGATCAGGATCTAAGGAAAGAAAGAGAACAGTGGTAGGCTGCAGGGCAGGACCCCTCACTCGACTGTCAGCAAGCCCACCTCTGCCTCCCAAGCTGAGGGCTCCTCTTCCACAGCCCAGATCCCTGGGACGGGAGGCCCCAGCTTCAAGAAGAGGGGCTTCATGGACTCACCGACCCACCCAGGGTGCGGTCTCTGCACCACCCCCTCCCCATGCCCCGAGTTCCACAGTGTTTTCTAGGCCATTAGTAGAGCTGCTACTGTCTGGAAACACTTTTTTTTTTTTTCTAACTCAGTACTTTTCAAAAAAGCCTCCTTCTTCCTTTTCAGAAACATGAGCGAAACCCACAGGCGTCAGTCCCATGGCCTTTCTGGGAACACTGCGTCCGGCTTCCTGTGCGCTGGCCCGGCCGCCCGCCTGCGGTCAGGGTAGCAGAGACGCTCTAATAAGACCTGAGCCTTTCCAAGCACTTATGTAAAGGGCTTGGAAAGAAGGGCCTCAGCCTTCCCTGGCCCGCAGGCCCCAGGGGAGCTGGAGGGGTGCATGGGGCTGCTTCTCTGTCTGCCCTGCTGAGGGGCCTAGCTCATGGCATCACCAGAAAATGGGATGCTTTTCAATCCACCTTTCCCAGCAGCAGGCAGGAAAAGAGAGGGATGCAGGCTCCCTGCTTCCCTGCGTATCCCTTGACCCCCTTTTTTCTTATGTGCCCCTTCCTTCCTTCCTTCCTTCCTTCCTTCCTTCCTTCCTTCCTCTTTCTCCTTCCCCAGAATTGCTTCCCAGAGGCCCTCTACCACTGAGATGGCCCCTGAACTGGGAATGGCTGAATAAGAGAGGCCCTGAGGAGGAAGGAGGTCAGAAACCCAGGCCTATGAGAGAGCCAAGTTGCCAGGGATGGGGCAGGAGTCAGTTGTTTTAGACAGACTCTGTGACCTTGACAATTTTGATCAAATTCAATTTATGAGGAATCTGATCTCTGTATTCAACTAGAGGCTGCTGTTCTCATTTTTAGCATATGTGGTGTAGTGGGGGTGGGGGTGGGGGTGGTGTGTGCGAACAGTTAGCTTAATGGTAGCAGCCAAGGGTAAAAGGGCTGTATCTAAATGGGCCCTGACTCTGATCACACACTGAGCCTTAATCCTGGTCACACACTGAGCCCTGACCCTGGTCACACACTGAGCCCTAATCCTGGTCACACACTGAGCCCTAATCCTGGTCACACACTGAGCCCTAATCCTGGTCACACACCGAGCCCTGCCCCTGGTCACACACTGAGCCTTGAGCCTGGTCACAGGCTAAACTTCACACCTGTGAATCATTGATAAGCATATGCTGACTCTCTGGGCCTTGGAATCTCTGCCATTTGTCACCCAGCTGATGGCCTAAAGCAACTCCTGGGCTTTTTGTTTGTTTGTTTTTAAGTGGAAAAGAGTTGCTGTGGTCTGATCATTTTAAATTCACATGGGTGGGGTGGGGTTTCTTTGCGAGTTTGTAAGCAGAGGGTCCCTCTGCAAAGTGGCAACTGAGGACCCCGCCAAAGGCTTGGGCCAGAGTGCATCAGCTTCCCCTACGACTGGGCCCAGGCGTGGATGAAAGCTCATTCCAGCCAGTATCAGTTCTAACTCGGGGCTGTTGAACTCAATCCACTTGATAAGGCCACTAACGATTCACTGAGCACCGTTATGAAGGATTCTCCAACCCGCAGACATCAGGCCTTTCAATCTTTCAGTCTCACAAGCCTACAGGGGAAGGGCCTATTTTGTAGTTGCGAAAAGTAGTTCGGAGAGGTGAGGCGAACTGCCCAATGGTCACAGAGCGAGGAAGCCTCAGAGGCAGGACTGCAGACTTCCACCCAATTATGCTGCCTCCTGCTGGTTCCCACCTGGAGCCACACAATCTGGCCCCAGATCAGCACGCCAGGGCCCGGCTTCCACCGCGAGCACTCAGCCTGGGGCTGGCATGGACGAGGCTCCTCCTGCTTAGCCTGTGGGCTGGGCCCAGCCGCAGCTGGGTTTGGCTAGGAAGGTGACTCAAAGCACAGGTATCTTGTGTATTTCATGCAGCCCTGCCTGCCACTCCCTGGCCACCCCGCCCCCCGCCCCCCCCCCCCCCCGACCTCAAGGGTAGAAAAGGGGCTGGGGGGGGGGAGGGTGGTGGGTGTGCACTTACTGGACAATCTTGCAGTTTGTTGTAGAAACATAGCGACCTGTATAGTGAATGTTGCATCTCACCACATTGTTGGTGAAGTCAGACTCCAAAACAATATACTTCGGGTTCACGTGAACCTGAAGAAGAAGGGGAGCAGAGGGCAAAGGGACCTGGTCAGGGGGCTGCATTTCACCTGGTCATTAGGGAAGGCCCCGGAGACGCAGACAGACAGACGTGGAGGAGACAGACGACAGAAGGATATAGGATGATGGAGGAAGACCCCTCAAGACCAAGAGATACGGAGACAGAGCCACACTGGTGGAGAGACATGGAAAGAGAGAGAGGAAAGAAGAGACAGCTCGTGGTCAAAGAAAACATCGCCAGATCACCCTTATAGGAATGTGGGAAGCTTCCCCGGAGCCAGAGCCTGGGCCAGGTGGGGCCCTCCACTGGGCACTCAGGGTCAGAGAGGTTGAGTCACTGCCCCAGGGAACACAGCAGTGAATGGGGGGCAGGGGCTGGGCAGGGATACCAAGGCTGGTCTCCTGAGTCTGAGGCTGGCACCCTGTTACCACCCAGGCCTGTCTACATGACCGATGGAAGGGTTGTCTGCTGCCAGGTGGCATCTCCCGCCCTGGAGCTGGAGAACCTGACGCTCAGTGAGATGATGGCCCACCCGTGCCTTTTGTCTGAAGAACCACTGGGACACAGGAAGCCTTCTAAATGTCGGATTAACTGGGGAGGGGGCGCTTCACTGGGGTAGGCTACACCCAGACTAATATTTGCAGAACATGGAAGAACGTGTTACTTTTAAATCCTTTACACTCCCCAAGGGCAGGAATTGTGCATTACTTATGCGGTTCCAGTCCCTACTGCCTGGAACTCAGAGGGTCCTTTGTACATGTCTGGTGAGTGGATGAACCAAGGGAAGGAGAAGAACCCTGGCCCCCGGGTGAGTTGAGCAGAGGGGCCTCTGAGCCTGCTGGGAGGTGCTTGGGACCGGACTGTAACCAGTGGCTTCCGGGTTGCTGTGTTCTGAATGCAGGTTTCCCGGCAGGCTGTGTTCATGCAGGTTAGAGCACCTCCCAAGCCCATCGTCACTGCTCACAGCTCTGTCTTTGCTGCTCTGGGGTGTGGAGCTGCGGGTCCAGGGGCCCTGGTGGAATGGTTCCCCACCTTTGCTTTGCACCTTCACAGAGGAGGCTGACCTTTGACTTCCCCAGGTGAGACCGCGATGCCCAGGCCCCAGCACAGCCTGCATGGATGTACCACATGGGGCTGTGTGTCCTTAACATGCTTTTCTACCCACTCTCACCCCACCCCCAGGGAAGTGGCTCTGGAGTAGCATTCATTGCAGGAGGGGTTCAGGCCAGAAGGGACTCTTGGTCACAGGAGCCCTGGGCTTTGCAGGGGTCGCTGTGAGGAGTGGAGGGTCTCTTCAGAGAATGGCAGGGTCCCCTTCCAGATGGCACAGAGCCTGCCCTGTCTGCAGACAGGGGGGTGCACCGCACTTCAAATCCTCTGTCGCTTAGGGAAGACAGTGTCACTGCCTCCTGTAGCATCACCGCACCTGGGCCGAAGGTGCCTTGGTGTCTCTATGGAAAGAGAGGCTCTGTCGGCCTGAGGCTAAGAGCCTCCAGGAGGAAGAGGAGACCCCCACTCCAGGTTGATGTCCAGGATGCCACCTCAGCAGCTGGGGGAGGAGGGGGTGCCCCAGTGGCTAAAGCATATCCCAGAGGCAGGGGCACTGAGCACAAGCAATAGTAGGGGGAGTGGCCCAGACCAGGAGGCCCACCTTGAGGACATAGTTCCCGGGCTGCACATCAGTTATGTCAATCCACTGGCAGTCGATGTCCGCGTTGTAAGTGTCATAGCAGCCGGGGCTCAGGCCCTGGGAAGAGGGGACAGGATCAAGGCTGGGGTGCCACCCTGTGCCTTTCCAGCAGTCTGGTCCCACCTTCCTCTGGCCCGGGGTAGCTGTTCAGAGTGGGTGTGTCCCTTCTTTTTTTAAATTTTTTTAAAGTTTATTTCTTTATTTTTGAGAGAGAGGGAGAGAGGGAAAGAGAGAGTCCCAGAGCCGGGTGCGGGGCTCAAACCCAAGAACCGTGAGATCATGACATGAGCTGAAATCAAGAGTCAGACGCTCAACCGACCTAACCACCCAGGTGCCCCAGGGTGTGTCCCTTCTGAAACCAGTGGGTGGATGGACCAGAGAGACAACAGGGAGGTATAATAGCCAGGCGGAAGGGACTGAAGGAGGGGGATGGCTGGAGAGATGGATGGAGGACTGGATGAAGAGACAGAGGGGCAGGACAGAGAGACACTCGGTGGATGTTTGGACAGACTGATAGAAAGGTGGATTTGGGTGGACGACCAGGCAATGGAACACCACGCCATCTACGTTTCGCTGCAATGTTCCTTTCTCTCCTTGGGCAGCACGCCTGGGAGGCAATGCAGGGAGGGGCCCAGGCAGGGGAGGGGGTGGGGGGCCCTGTGGTGGCCTGATGACCCGTGAGAAGACCCTTGCTCTGACGGAGCTGAGTGGAGCCTTGGCGCTGACCCATCTTCAGCCTGGCCCAGCTGGACATCGCCCTCTGCTCCCTGGTCCCCTCTGGCCCCACTCCCCTGGGCAGGCTTCACCCCCATGCTCCCGTGTCCCCACCGCGGTGCCCTCGCCTGGCCGGACCTGCGTGTGAGAGGTGCATGCGTAGCGCTTGAGGTTGCCGAAGTCACAGGTGCTGTCCTCCAGGCAGAAGCTGGCCTTGTGGCCCTCGGCTACCTTCTTGCCTGTGGCCGCATCCAGCAGGTCGTAGTGGCTGAACTCATCCATGCTGTGGTAATGTCTGGGGGCAGAGGACAAGAGGAGGGAAAGAAGGGGGCCTAGTCACCCCTGGGCTTCCTGTGACACCGCCTCCTGACCAGTCTGGGCTCCTGGGGCTCCTTGGTTCCCCGTGTCCCTCAGGGCAGCGTCTCTGGGGCTCCCCACCTGGCCAGGTCCCCTGGGAGGGCACCCCCTCAGGATTCCTCACGTCCTTCTTGGGCTCCCACCTGTACCAGCCTCCCTCGGGCAATTCCCCGTACTCTAGACATTTCTGTCCCCTAAGACGGATCCTCCTAGGTCCCCCTCCTGCAGTCTAGCTTTTGCTAAGGAACTCTTGCCCCAGTGGTGGATCCATGGCAGCAAATGTCTCCCGGGAGCGCCTGCCCCGCCCCGAGCACATACGCGGTGGGGGGGGGGGGGGAGAGGAGGGGCCCCACCCGGGGCCCTCCCACCAGCCCCTGCCCCTCCCCGGGCACCTATGGGGGAGAAGAGGGCCCCACTCACTGGTGACAGCTGTGCCACTCCCAGGCGTGCCGTGGCCGGTGCGGGAGGAAGTCCGCGGCGCCCTGGTTCTTCACTCGCTGGGGGAAGCGGAGCAGCACCCGCACGTCGTAGTCAGTGGCCTCCGGAGTGTAGGCCGTGCTGCACGGACAGGGTGGGGGACCGGGGTGGGGCTGGGTGCCGTGTCACCAACGCCCAGAGCCAGCTGACCTGTCCCTGACCGTCCTCACAACTGACTCCCTGTACTGAGGCTGGGACTCAGGTCTCTCCCCGTCTCTCCTGACCACACGGGCTTGGCTGTACCCTCCTTTGCGGCTTCCGCCCTGTGGCCCGGCAGCTGCCAGAGGAGTCTTCCTAAAGCAGCGTCTGGTCTGGCGATGACAATCTCATCTGCAGGTGACTCTCGGTGGGGGACAGCCTCTGGGGGCGGGGGGGACCTATCGATATCTCTGGAGGGCTTTTTAAGAATGGCCCATCCAGGAGATTCTGATAAGTGGTCCCTCCTCTGGATGGGGCCCCGGTTGTTGACCAAAGTACCATGTCTCAGGTGCAGGACTAAGACACAGGCTCGGGCTCTTCCATGTCAGAGTCCCTTCACTTTCCCGTTCCTGTCTGCCCTGCTGCTCCCCCACACATCCTGGGTTCCAGCTTCAGACACTGTTTCTCAAAAACGCACTTCACTCATGCTAATCTATACTTTTGCCCGTGCTGTTCGTCGGACCCAGAACTCACCCAGCCTCCTAAGCGCGACACAGGCTCCCTCCTCCAGGAAGTCTGCCTTGATTGCCCCACCAAGAAGACCCTTGATGGCCTGTGAGCTCTAACAGCACTGCCTATACACAGCCTGATGCCACACGCTCCTCTGAGCTAGGTCGGTGTGACTAGGTCCTTTCCCTGACGGTGTGGCTTCTGGAGCAACGATCTGCCCTTTTCTGTTTGGGGAGCACAGGTCTGAGGCAGACTGCCTGCTCACAATTTGCTTGCTGACCCCCAATTCCCAGCTGACATGGGCTTTGTGAAAAGAGAAAGGGAGGGGGAGGAGAGGCGTGAGGGACAGGAGCGAGGGGAGGGAGGCAGACAGAGACACACACGTGCAGAAGGGCTGACTGGAGCTCCCCCCCCTTCGTCAGAGTACTGCTGATAATCGTCCAGGCCGGCCTCAGGGGCACTCCCCTGGCACTCATTAAGGTCTGGGTCCTAAAGCCAGAGGCAGGAGGTGGCCAGTTGTGGGGATCAGCTCTCTCTGAGAGGATGTCTGCACCACAGGCGGTGCAGGCTCCTGTCTGCCAGGACGTAAGGCCCTTGGCCTTGTCTGGGGGAGGCTTGGAATCTGTCTGTGTCTGGGTTGGAACAAAACATCCTCCTTCCCTCTGTTCAGTTAAATCCTGCCCTTCTGTTCAGCCCGGCACACCGTGGGAACCCATCAGGGTCTAGGTTCTAGGCCCGGCGTGGCCACAGACTCGCGGTGAGACTTGGAGCACGTCCCCTCCCTGGTCTGGGCCCTGCCTGCAGCCCACGCCGCCCGTGATCCCGGAGAGCCCCACCATCCCAGGCCTCAGTTCCGCTGGCTCTTCTAGCTTTGTGCCCCACGCCCAGCTTCCTCTGCCACCTCGGCCCTTGCTGGCCTTTCCTCCTCTGACCATTTTCTCCTCCTCTGACCGTGAGCCACTCATGCCAGCTCTCCTCCCACTCTCTGTGACTGGGTCCTGTCATCGGGGCGGCTGAGGGGCCGCTCTCCAGTGGCCCAGGACAGGGGGCCGGGCTGCCTCTTCCCCAGCCCATCTGGGAGCTCGGGTCTGGGCCCACAGGGTGCTTCATGAAGATGGGATGATAATTTAGCTTTGACTCAAACTCCTCAAAACTCAGCTTCAGTGGACTGCCTTGCAGGCTGTCAGGGGCTCACTGCTGGAGGGGCTGGTGACAGCAGGAACACGATCATTATGCTCCCTTCCCAGGGACAACTGAGGGGAGACCAGACCTGACTGGGCAGGCCAGCGGAGTGGTACAGTGGACCTCCTTATCCGCAGTCTCGTTTTCCGTGCTTTTGGTCACCCACGATCAAGGGCAAGACATTCTGGACCTAGGAAGCGGTGGGTGAAGTTACAATCTGGTGTAAGCGTCTTATCCCGTGACAGACAGATAAGGCCTTGTGGTCAGCTACTGAGTGGCAGTGCACTAGCAAGTCCGTAAGTGGGAAAATGTGGAAATTCCAAAGGGCTTCCCAGATACTGAAAAGTGAAAGTAAATGAAGACTCCAAAGTGTGTGTGGGGGGGGGAAGGCAGCAAGTAATTAAGAAAAATAGATGTTCTCAACATAGAGAGATGTCAACAAACGAGTCAGGACAATGTAATCTCTAACAGATTCTTTTAGCACAGGGAGATGTCCCCAAAGCATATGTATTTGAACAGAATATTCGCCTTTAATAAATTCAGAAGCAAGGGCGACAGGAGGCAGAGACGCCCAGGAGTAACGGAGAGTTGGCTGTGCTCACCTTCCGGTTCTTGCAAACTGGTCTCCTTTCCCGGTCTCTCTACTGCCACGCATAACTGGGGCCCCTTTGTCACCCGCGCCCACTGCCCCTGCTGGAGAGCCACACCTGTCCTCCTTGGAGAGGGCTCTGTACTCCTGCCCTCTATCCTGAAGGCTCGTTCCCCCATTGGACTTCCCTGGGTCCTTGTGGGAGCACCTTCTCGTGAGGCAGCTCAGATTGGAAAAGTTTTAGTTCCTCTCTTTGCTCCCCAGTCGCCTGGGGCGACTTCAAACTTTCAGGGCTGGAGTGAAGATTAAATGCCCCAGTAAAGTTCCTTGTATAGTGACCTATACAGAAATGCTCGCTTGTTCCCTTCTCTTCCTGACTCCCTGCGGGCAGGCAAGGCTCACAGATGAAGAGGTCAGGGTCCTGAGAGGCTCAGAGGCTTGGCCAGGGTCTTTCAGACTGTAGGCAGCCTGGCTGGCATGAGCACAGGCTCAGGGTGAGTCCCAGAGCCTGTCCGGACATTCCATGCTTCATCGTCACCTCCTTACCTGGCCAGACACTTCTCCTCCGCAGCACAGCGCAGAGAGTACAGGTGGGCTCTCTGGACATAAGTGGATGCTTGCACGTAGTTGGGGTCCGGGACCAAGTCAGGGAGACCTGGGGATGGAGTGGGGTAGATGGAGGTGGGGGAAAGAGTTGGCATCGAGGGGTGTCAGGCTGGCCACGGCTAAAGCCCAGAGACCTCCCCAGCCCCAAGCACCCTTTGCTGTTCTCCTTCCTCTACACAGGCTGTCGCCTCCTCCAGGAAGCCTCCCAACCTGAGCCAGGGGTGTGACTGGAACTGTTTCCCCTGGGCTCAGGTGTGGGCCAGAGAGGTGGGGGAGCTCCATGCTGTGGGAGCCTCTGAGCGCCCCCTGGAAGAGCTGGGACGTGAGCGAGGTCTGGGGGGCAGGATAAGGTTTGGTGAGCTAGAGAAAAGGAAAGGGTATTCTTGGCAGGGCGACCAGCACGAACAAGGGCCTGGAGGCAGGACTAAGTTGAAGCAAGCAATTTCCAGACACTGCCTCCCTGTCCTTGTTCCCCAGGCCTCCGGACCCCAGCCCCCGTCTGCAGACAGCTTTCTTCTTGAACCACCAGGAGAACCCTGGGTCCTGGCCCCACGTGGGTCCCAGAGAGCTCATGGGCAGGGCCAGGTAAGTGCTGGTTGGCACAAGTGGGGTGGACAGGAAGGGAAGGGCTAGTGGGAAAACACATCCCCAGAGCAGGCTGCTGACAGGGCAGGATTCTCGGACTGGGCGCCCAGCCCGACCTTCTTCAGGATTCCTTTCTTCCTGCCATCGGCCCCCAGACCTGACCACACCCTCCCCTGTCTGCAGCTTCTGGCCTGCAACCTGAGGGGCCCGGCTTCCTCCCCTGCAGGACCCAGGGAAGTCGGGAGTGTGCTCAGCTCCTGTGATCACTTGTACCCTGGGACATGCTAGAGCCAGGGATCTGTCCACCCTGCACCTCCCCCACGTCTGTGCACAACTTGGTCCCAGGGAGCATAATTAGGAATTAGCAGAAACCAAACTCAGGTGTCTAGACCGTCTCCGCACTGGAATAAAGAAGGAAAGATCTGATCTGGTGCCGGGCGTGCAGGAGTGGTGGGGGCAGGGTGGGGTGGGAGGTGGGCAGGGAGCACTCCAGAGCCTTCAGCTCCATCCCAGCTTGGCCACTGACTTCAGGGTTTGCGCGCCGGGGGCTCTTTGTCCCCTCACCCTCAGGCTTCGGGGATTCTGGTAGATAAGCAATGACATGAGCCTACAGGTTGCTTAGTTTCTTTCAAGCTCTCTGCTCTTGGGGGACAAGTAAGGTACGGGGACTTGAGTCACACAGACCGGATTCCGGCCACTCTTCTTGCTGCCAAAACCCTCTTGTCAGGTTCCCGGTCCCGAAGGTGAGGCAGACCCTCACACACACACACATCCCTTGGGCTCCAGACCCCAGCCCCGCTCACCCTGGGCCCGGGCCTCACGCGGGAGCCTGGTCCAGGCAGCCAGCGTGATCTCACCTACTCGGAATGGAGAGGAAGCTTGGAGCACAAGGGTGGGTGAGGATGAGGTGGCTCCTGGCTGAGGGGGGCCGTCTTGGCCAGCCTAGGTCCCATTACTCAAGCTCCAGGAATGCCTGTAGTCATTTCCCAAGGGATCCTAGGGCCCTCAAAGCGAGGGCCCACCTCGGTGCCAAGCTGGTTCTCGCACTCTGGTCCCCGGAAGCCTCTGGTGGGGTGGGGGGGCGGGGGCGGGGGAGGTGAGGAAGACGGGAATGGTCCCTCTCCCCATCATCAAAGTGCCTTTCCCATAGCAACTATGTGGGGGTGGGTTAGCTGGGCCTGAAGCCTCACGAGATCCAGTATTTGGCGCCAGACGGCCTGCCTCCCCCACCCCAGGCCCGGTTTCAATAAACAATGCACAGATGGCTCCTCAAAGCTTTTCTGGCCCGACCCTTCCTCTCTAGGCCACTCCATGGAGTGGCTGTGCAGTCCAGGGAAGTTAGAAAAGCCAGCTATGGAAGAGGCCAGAAGTACTCAGGGCCAGCGAGGGCTGGTGACACTCCTGGCCTGTGACTGAGCCCCGACCCTGCTCCTATACTGAGCCCTAATTTTGGCCACACACTGAGGTCTGACACCTATCAACAACTCGGAACCTCAAGATTATGGACTAAAAACTCTGTACTTACAACCATTTTTAGGGAATTGCTTTGACATCATTAATCCTTGTTGGTTATAACTGAGTGGGTGGAGGTGTTTTTTGTTTTTTGTTTGTAAACTTCAAAGCCATGGGGGGAGGGGCACCTGTAGCATCTACATGTGGGGATTCCGGAGGAAGACTAAGGACAGACAGCTCAGAGCTGCTGGTCACAATCCGAGCCCTGGCCCTGGCCACAGGTGACCATCTTCCTCTTACTGTTGAGGAATCTCAGATTCACACGGGTGCCTTCTGCTCCAAGAAGTCTCCCGTGACTGGCAGTGACATTCCAGGCTCACATACTTCTCCTGTCTCCCCGCTGGATCTGTATTGATCTATAATTAGATGCCATCGTATTTACCTGTGTCTACTTCCCTCCAGATCCTGCACTGGGTACCACTCACGCCCTAAGCAGGCAACCCACCATGCTTTGGGGCTGACTAACTGCCCCGTCCCATTGGCCTCTGTCAGGCAAGTTTCTTTAGTGACTAGTGGCTTAATACTTCATATTTTACCCTGTTCCTTGCAAGGCACCAGGGCACATGGAGGTGCTGGAGGGAACCAAGGCTCAGAGAGGGCAATGAATTTGCCCATGGTGGCACAGTGAGTTGCAGCAGCCCTAGGAGGAGCTCCCCACCCCCTCCTAGGGCTCTACTTATCACTGTTTTTATACAAATGAACTTTTTTGAAGTATAATCTATACACAGTCAAATGCAGATTTAAGATACACAGTTTGATAAGTTTTGACAAATGGCATACACAGCGTGACTACCACGACCCTCAAGCTAATTATTGTTTCCATCATCCCTGAAAGTTCTGTCCTGCCTTTCCCAGTAAGTTCTTTCCTCCCCCAACCACCCCAAGTAACTATTGATCTGCTTTTCAATCACCTTAGACAGTTATGCCTTTTCTAGAACTTAAATGGAATCACTCCTATTATTTTATCTTCTTTGTTCTGTATCTCTGATCATCACAGGGGTCCTGTGACTCCCCTAACTGACTTCCCCTGGCCATACTCTACCTCTGTCACACTGGGGGAAGCTGCTGGAAAATAAAGTAGCCTTGGGAGCTCAGGCTTGGTCCCCCTATGCCTTTCAGAGGAGGGGATCCCCTGGGAACCCCAGGCCCTTCCCTCAGCTGGCATGTTTCTCTAGGAAGGAACAATGCCTCCTTCTCCTCCTGCTCTCCCAGGAGGCATTCCATCAGCAGTGGGACCTGTAGGCTTGAGATCTCAGCCCCCAAGGGCCGGGACTTGGGGGGCAGCCCATGTGTTGTCACAAGGGGGTGAGGGAAGGCTTAAGCGGGGGCTCGCGGATGCAGGAATAGGGGACTGGTCTGCCGTTTCTGGCTTATGGGGTACAACCAGGCCCTCCAGGCAGGGTGGCCAATGTGGAGTGAAAGACAGTTATAACTGGACCATGTGCTTATCCCCCATCCCCAAAAGTGTGCATTTTAAAAGGAAGTCTCTAGAGAGAGGGTAAGGCTTACTCGGAAGGCAGGAGAACCCTCAGTCGTGGAGATACAATTTTGAGGAGGGCCTGGAACCTTTTATCCAGAATATATGGAATCATGCAACCCTTGGACCCAGCACTGGAGATTCTACAGAGTGGGTTCCAGTGGGAACTTCTCCCAGACACCCCCATTTCTTTAAATGCAGAGACTGAATTAAGCATAATTCTCATTTCGGAGCAAACAAACCATTATCACTGGTCTACACAAGGCTCCCCCTTTTGGAATAACATTTTTTTAGTGTTTATTTATTTTTGAGAGAGAGAGAGAGAGACAGAGCACAAGTGGGGGAGGAGTAGAGAGGGAGACACAATCCGAAGCAGGCTCCAGGCTCAGAGCTGTCAGCACAGGGCCCCAGGTGGGGCTCAAACTCATAAGCTGTGAGATCATGACCTGAGCTGAAGTTGGATGCTTAACTGACTGAGCCACTCAGGTGCCCCAGAATAACATTTCTTTTTAACCTTCATCATCACCCCTGACCTTCAGATATGTCCCTGAACATCTGTGTCTCTGTATAAAATCTGCACCGTGTTGGGGGTGGGTATGTATCCTTAAAGTACATAAATGATACTGTTTCACAGTCTCATCCTGTTTCTTGATTTTTCAGTCAATGTATAAACTTTTAAGATCTACCTAGCTCATTATTTGTCATTGCTAAATAGGACTCCACAGTGTGCACCCTCCGTGACCAATATGGCCAGTCTTCTGGGTTGGACACCCAAGATGGGGCCAACCATGGAAAGTGTGGCTGTACAGTCTGCCCAGGCTACCCAAGGAGTCCCTGGTCACCAACAGCATCCTGCCTTCTGCTCCCAGGAGGCACACAGGAGCTTGGCCTCTTACCCTATTCTGTCACAGACTTTCTACGTGACCCGAGGCAGGACTGGGTCCTCTCCAGGCCTCACTGCCTCCATTTATCCAGCTCTGATCATTCTCTATCCTACTCAAGGCCTTTTGGAGCTCTGGGCCAGTCCTGGGCACCCTTCCCCAGAAGCAATGTGCTGACTGTGGGGGTTGGGCACATAGGGATTCAGGCTGCACCAGGGTCTGGGCCAGGGTTAGAGGGACACTGAGTCAGAGGGCAGAAAAGGCCCTTGGGGTAGCTGAAGCCAGGCTGCTGCTCGGCTGGGGAGGGGCTGGGCATAGGTGAATCAGGTCCCAAGGCCATGCTGCAGGCAGCCTTGGAGGGGACCCCGTCAGACCCTCCAGGGCAGGGAAGACACAGAGCCGAGGATAAGGATCTTCTGCATTCCTGCTCTGTCCCTGGAGCTTCTTCTGAGTGGGCATCCAGGGCCCCTTCACAAGGTGCTCTGGACAGTCGGCCATGCTCCCCACCCCAAGCTGACCTACATGCCAGCCTGGGGGAAGCTGAGGCCTGTCTCCCTCTTCCCTGGCAGGACTTGGCTGGGACCTTCTCTGGAA